CTAGGAGCAGTACATCGGCCTGACAGTGTCAATACGTCAAAGACATCTGTGCTACTGAATGGACGCACATCCCTTCTAAGTCCATGCCAAAACAGCTTTGTTGTGAAAGAAACCCTTAACATCCCAAAACCATACTGTGACTTTCCTTCTAGTTACAATAGAGACATTAGTAGTGGCATGGAGTCTGACACTTTAGGGAACTCAGTATTCCAGAGAACAAAAGATGACGACAAACAAGCAATGTCTATAGATGATCGAGCTTTTCTCCATATCATGGATAAAGAGACTTTCCAACATGAAAACAACAATTGGGTAGCTCCCTTACCCTTTCGCACACCAAGGTGTTACTTACCCAGTAACAGAGAGCAGGCCTTAAAGCGCCTGAACACACTACGTAAAACCTTGCAAAGAAAGCCTGAAGTGAAAAAAGACTTTACAGAATTCATCAAAAGGATGCTTGATAATAATCATGCTGAAGTAGCACCGTCACTGGATGAAGGTAAAGAACACTGGTATCTGCCAATGTTTGGCGTTTACCACCACACAAGCCAGACCAAATAAGAGTTGTGTTTTCGATTCCAGTGCTCAACATGGAGGTGTTTCATTGAATGATGTACTCCTGAGTGGCCCAGATCTAAATAAACACACTTCTGGGTGTCCTCTTACGCTTCAGGAAAGAGCCTATTGCTTTCACAGGTGATGTGCAACAGATGTTTTATTGTTTCCTAGTGAGAGAGGACCATCGTGACTTCCTGCGTTTCCTGTGGTACAAGGATAATGACATAGCTAAAGAGGTGACAGAGTACAGAATGAAAGTACATGTTTTTGGTAACAGCCCGTCTCCTGCTGTTGCCATATACTGCATGCGCAAAGCTGCCCAGAAAGGTGCAGAATGTTATGGTCAAGATGCCAAACACTTTGTGATGAGACATTTCTATGTAGACGATGGACTTGCTTCAGCTAACACACCTGAAGGAGCAGTCGACATTCTCAACAAAGCAAAACAGATGCTGGCGGAGTCTAATCTGCGACTACATAAGATTGCCTCTAACAGCAAACAAGTCATAGAAGCTTTCACCGCAGAAGATAGAGCTAAAGATCTCAAAGACCTGTGCCTGGGAACAGACACCCTTCCTTTACAGAAGAGTTTAGGCCTAAGCTGGGATCTAGATAAAGACTGCTTTGTGTTTCAGGTTTCTTTAGCAGAAAAGCCATTCACAAGAAGAGGGATCCTATCCACTGTGAACAGTCTTTATGATCCTCTCGGGTTTGTAGCACCAGTCACCATAAAAGGTAAGGCCTTAGTTCGTGAACTGTCAAGTGGAGAAAGTGAGTGGGATGCCTTACTTCCACAAGAGAGACTCCATGAGTGGGTCCAATGGACAGAGTCTTTACAATGTCTTCAAATATCCAGATGTTATGTTCCTGTTTCATTGTCACAGGCCTGCAAGAGAGAACTATACATCTTTTCAGATGCCTCCATTATAGCAATAGGTGCAGTCGCTTACTTGAAGGTAAGTGATGCAGGAAATGTCTGTCATGTTGGATTCGTAATGGGAAAATCCAAACTGAGCCCTAGGCCGGCACATACAGTTCCACGCCTAGAGTAATGTGCAGCTGTACTAGTGGTTGAACTGTATGAGCTAGTGAGAGATGAGATAGACCTGAGCCTAGATGCTGTGAAATTCTTTACAGACAGTAAAACAGTTTTAGGCTATATTTGCAACACTACAAAGAGATTCTTCTTGTATGTCTCCAATCGGGTGAATAGGATCAGACAAACAACCTGTCCAGAGCAGTGGTTCTACGTACCCTCAGAACAAAATCCTGCAGATTATGCTACCAGGCCTACACAGATAGCTTGCCTTCAGAACTCTATATGGTTCTCCGGTCCACCTTTTCTGTATCAGACAGCTGTAGATAATCCTGATGACAACAATGTTTATCCTTTAGTGGATCCTGAAGCTGATCCTGAAATTAGGTCAGAAGTAGTAAACTTCAGTACTAAAGCCTTTGACACCAGACTACGGCCGCATTGTTTCGAAAGACTTTCCAACTGGAAGAGACTAAGCAGGGTTATAGCAAAATTAATTCATGTTGCCAAAAGCTTCCAAAAGAAAACTAATGATGATCAACCCGGAAATTGGGGAGTTTTCCATGAAAGAGTCAGTTTAGAAGAACTTTCACAGGCCAAAACAGTTATAATTTCTTCTGTACAACACGCATGTTTCAGACAAGAATATGACTGTATTGAACAACAAAGGACACTTCCAAAACAAAGCCGTCTTACAAAACTGAGTCCCTTTGTAGATCAAGTGGACTATTGAGAGTAGGTGGCCGTTTATCCTTTGCCACGCTGCCAGATGAGGAGAAGCATCCTGTCATCATTCCTCATGATCACCACATTGCTACATTGATCGTAAGATATTATCACAACCAGATAGTTCACCAAGGGCGCCACATAACAGAAGGTGCAATCAGAGCTGCAGGTTTCTGGATTCTTGGTGGAAAACGTCTAGTGTCTGCAATCATTCACAAATGTGTCGTGTGCCGTAAGCTCAGAGAGGGAGATTGGAAAGCCAAAAGATGGCAGAGTTGCCAAAAGATAGAGTCAATCCTGAACCTCCCTTCACTAATGTGGGTGTTGATGTGTTTGGCCCCTGGGCAGTTGTAACACGACAAACTAGAGGAGGCAGTGCTGACAGCAAATGCTGGGCTGTTCTTTTCACATGTCTTTCTACAAGAGCAGTGCATATAGAATTGGTTGAGTCCATGTCGGCATCCAGTTTCATTAACGCTCTAAGAAGATTCTTTTCTGTTCGTGGTCCAGCTAAGTTGATTCGCTCTGATAGAGGTTGCTAACTTTGTAGGAGCATGCAAAGAGCTGCATATATGTTCAAATGATGCAGAACTTCTAGACTATCTTGAAAGACAAAGGATGCACATGGATCTTTAACACTCCACACTCATCTCACATGGGAGGTGCTTGGGAGAGATTGATAGGTGTAGCTAGACGCATTTTAGATGCAATGTTACTCCAAGCTAAACCTACTCGTTTGACTCATGAGACTTTGAGTACTTTCATGGCAGAAGTTATGGCTATCATTAATGCAAGACCTTTGGTACCACTATCTACAGATCCTGATAATCCTACAGTTCTTACGCCTGCCATGCTCTTGACCCAAAAGGTAGACTCTTTATCGGCCCCTTATGGGGACTTTAGTACAACAGAACTTCATGTAAAGCAATGGAAACAAGTCCAATGCCTGGCTGATACGTTTTGGAAGAGATGGAGGAGAGAATACCTGTGTACCTTACAAAGTCACAAGAAATGGACTGAGACCAGTCCCAACGTCAAAGATGGAAATGTTGTTTTATTGAAAGATAGTCAAGAAAGCAGAAACAACTGGCCTGTGGGAATTGTCACAAATACATTGTCCAAGTAAAGATGGTAATGTCAGAAAGGTTGAAGTCAAAGTGACAAAACAAGGACTGCTAAAGTGTATACTAGACCAGTTTCAGATGTCATTGTTCTCCTTTGAATAGCATTTCTGTTGTGTAGTTGGCACAATGCATAGCAGAGAGCTCCTCACTGATAGCGTTCAGGCGAGACATTCGCCATTGAGTTAAATTCCATCCTGTGGATTACAATTGGGGTTGGAGATAGTTTGGCCTTGGGGGGCTACTCTACTCCGAAGATGGGTTTATGGACTAAACTATTTCTTCATGTGGGCCATAAGCTTGAAGTACCATAGCCAAAAGACCCGATATGTTGTGGACTCATGTTTTAGTTTATGTTACCAATCTAGGCCGGAATGTATTTTCTTATGTGTTTTCCCTGTACAGTAGATATGCATGGGCAGTGATATAATATATATATATCAGGCAGGGAGTGTGTTGCCTTCACAGGCTAATTGAATTAAAGTTACTTATATGGGACATGTAGTGAACCACTGCCATCTAGTGGCAAACATGAATGGCAGGTCTCCTTCTGTATATGTAAGCTCTCAGACAGGAAATGACTCTTGGTTTAGGAAGCTCGTCAGCCATTTTAGACTTCTATTCACTGGGGATGCAGTGTGCTTGCTTCTCTCTCCAAGGGGCTTGAGACATCATCACCTGTAAGTGCCTTTCTTCTGTGTCATCTGTCATTTATGTTACACTAGTTATTCTATGTATACTGATATGCTGTTATTGTATTGTGTTTCAGTTTCACCTATAAAATAAAGTTGGATTCTTTGGTAGACAACACAAGCAGTGGGCTTCTGTTTGCTGGGGATTCTGACAAGGGTTTAGCTGTCCGTTTAGAGCCACACATAGTCAGTGTTTTGAGAACAGAACATTGACTAAGCCCTGGTATATTGTTTGACATTGACAGTGCCAAAGTCCCTAAGACGTTGGTGGTCAGAGGTCAGTAATAAACACCCTGGTACACTGTTGATTAAGGGTGAAGCCACTATTACAATGATTGTAAGTAGCAAACCCGAAAGTAGTCTTCTTCTCTGAAGCCCTAGTCTTTAGTTTGGAGGCATCTTGAGTACTAGTCACAAGTGGGTGAGTGCTTTGCTCTGACTAGTGCCTGCCATCTCTGCTTTGCTCTGACTAGTGCCTGCTCTCTCTTGGGCTCTGTACAATCCACATCAACAAATGTAACTTTCATCTTTTCTTGCATTTATCATTTTTACATACTGTACAGCAGGAATGGACTGACAACTTATGGGGCCCCTGGGTAATAGGGGATCATGGGGCCCCTGTGTCTTTTCCCACACTCAAACCACACCCAAGAAAGCCTATGAAAGGTACCAGGGGCATCTCATGGGGCCCCTTACTGACCCCGGGCCCTCGGGCAGTGCCCGAGTTTCCGAATGGTCAGTTCGCCCCTACTGTACAGTATATGAGGTCAGGGGGTCCACCAGACACTCCTCAGGGAGGTCAGTGAATGGGGCAGGTACAGATCTGCCTTAAATGACAGAAGACAGCATAAAACATATTGGACTTACAAGGGCAAACCATCCTTGACTGTATAGATGCCACAGCAGCTGCGGAAGTCATAGAGGCCATCTATAACATTGTACTTACGGCTCTTCTGCTCCATCCTGGATTCAGGAGGGATAAAAAGAGAACACAGGTTAAGTGCAGAGGCTTTACACAGGAAAAGAACTCTTGAATCTTCATCTATATAATTATTCTGAGACATTCTAACTAATAATTTGCTGTGTGATGCCCTCTGTTAATTATATGGAGAAATAAATTCGCCATTCCTCAATATATGAATGCAGACAACACAGCAGATGTCCATATTGTATTTAGTGCTGTATGGATTTGTGAGTACAGCATTTATTTTGTATATTTTATCACCATTTGGGTCATGGTAAAACTATATGTGAAATAAGCTCTATGCCCAAAAGTGTGTGTAGACATATGAACTCCACACCTGTATTGGCTTGTTGGAAACCCCATTCTAAAACCATAGGCATTTTTATGGAGTCGGTCCTCCTTTGCACCAACAACAGCTTTCATTTTCCTGGGAAGGTTTCTATAAGACTTTGGAGTGTGTCTGTGGGAATTTGTACTGATGGAACCAAAAGAGAATTTGTTGGTCATTTACTGATGTTGTATGAGAAGACTTGACCCACAATTGGTGTTTCAGTTCATTCCAAAGGTGTTCAGTAGGGTTGAAGTCAGGCCCCACGCAATTCCTCCACAAGAAACTGGTCAAACAATGTCTATGGAGCTGGCTGTACACACAGGGGCACAGTCATGCTGGAACAGGAAAAGGCCTTTACCGAACTGTTACCACAAGAGTGGAAGAGCACAATTGTCTACAATGCCCTTGTATGCTGTTGTATTACCAGTACCCTTCACTGGAAACACCTGGATAACTTATAGGGGAAGTCAACATACCATTGGCCATAATTGGGTGTGATGGTCAACAATGTTAGGCCATATAGTGTATATACTGTATAGCAAGGGTGCTCAAACTTTTGAAAAACAAGGGCCACTGATTCAGAATTTACATTTTTTATTTTGAATAGCATGATGAACATTTTCCTCCTGCGGCTGCTGAATGCCAGTGGAAGGGAGGAAGAGAAGGAGATGATGGCTTTCGGCAGTTGCAGGAGGAAAATGGAAAGGATCGGTTCCTGTGTATACCACCCCTGCCATCCCTCCTCACCAAGTATAAAACAGAATGTGACGGGGGGGCAGCATGGTCCCCCTGGAGCATGGGGCGGGTCACCATTGTGACCCCAGACACTACACCAGTGGTTGGGGGAGGGCATTTCATCTATGGGGTTTTACAACCCCCCAAATTGCAAATGTAGACAAGCCCTTACTATCCTGAGCCCCCTAAAAGCCTGCGTTCACACTGATGTGCTGTGGTCTACTGTAGTGCACCTTCAGCTTTCCTGTGGGTTAGTAGCGCTTTGCCATAGCATGACACTTGCAGGTTATAACAGAAGTCTACGGCTCAGTTCAGCTAACCTGCAGGAAAGCCGTAGTTGCACTGCGCTGCACCCACAGATCAGTGTGAAAGCAGCCTAATAGTTGTTAACCCTTTGATAAGTGCTGATATGCCCATAACAAAAGCGCAATTAGTGTGGTATTAAATATACAGACCTTCTTTTCCTCTTCCAGCTTCTGCTGGCATTCCTTTCCATCTCCAGGATGCTAGAAAGGTCCCAGACAAAGGGCACTTGGCATCACTCCGCCTGGAACAGGAGCCGGCATTACTGCTCCCTCCATGTCCGCCTGCTTCTTCCACTGGGCTCGATGCCCTCTAGGATTGCGAGTCGGCAAGCCCAGATCACGGCCAATGGGTTGCCAATCCCAGGCGTGCGCTCCCATAGTTTGAGGTCGAGAACCATATCAGAGGGCTCCGAGGGTCTCATGTGGCCCATGGGCCATGGTTTGAGCACCCCTGCTGTATAGTGTTTATGGATACTAATATTTCAGTGTGCCTTGTGTCATATTATTCATATTTCATGAAGTCTTGTACGCTGGCTAAATTCTCTATTTGTTTTCTCCTGCTAAATATTCTTAATATTAGTGTATGCTTTGGATCTTTAGATTATTGTATTCTTTTCAGCAATTTGCTTTGTGTTTCTTATCACATAATGTTCATTTAAAACCTTTATGCTTTTCATTGTGTCAAATTTCTGTTTCTGTCCCTATTGATCTCAACAGAAAGAGAGAATCAATTTTCTTCTGCATTTACCAAAATTTGTGTAAATGGGAGAGATAAAATGCTAACAATGAATGACTTACTCAGTTATGGGGTCATACTCCCCACGGTCATACCCTCTCTGCATGGTACAGGGGAGGATTATATCCTGGGAATTCCACCTGTGGATGATATACAGGGTAAGCTAATCACTTTCATACCCAGAACCTTTTTCATGATCACTACTTTGTCCCCTTTTGTGTTGCTGTCTCTCTGGTAGTATTTCATATACCATAATAGTGATGGGTCGAACACCCCTCTGTTTGGTTTGTGGTTGAACATGCGAACCTAACGCAAGTTCGACCACAAACTTTGAACAGGGACAATTCACTAAGCGGCAGTGGCATTCCGAGGCAGGTGCAGGGAGTACGGACCACACCAGGTGACACCGGCCGCACGGGGTGACACCAGACCCGCTCCACGAAAAGGTAAGTTGTAAATCAAGCCGACGATCCCCTCAGGATGGATCGGATCTGCGGATTGAGCATAATGGATTGGATTCCAATCTATTATGCTCAATCCGCAGATCCGATCCATTCTGCGGGGATCATCGGAGGGGGTGTGTCACCGCACCGGGTGACACCAACCCTAGGGACGCCTCTGCTAAGCGGTTTCCTGCTGACAACTGATTGTAAAAACATTTGAAGGAATTGCCCGGCAATTTAAACATTTGTTAAAAAACGCATGGTGTCCCCCCCAGCCCTTCAGGTCTGGTATGAATATTAAGGGGAACCCCTAAGCCCAAAATCCATACCACACCATTATCTGAACATACAACCTATCAGGTCAGGAAAAGGGGGGACGAGCAAGCAATCCCCCTCCCCTCCTGAACAATACAGGCCACATGCCCTAAACATGGGGTGCTGCTTTGGGGCAGGAGGAGCTCCCCCTACCAAAATTACCTTGTCCCCATTTTAATGGGGACAAGGGCTCTTCCTCACAACCATTGCCAGTGGTTGTGGGGATCTGCTGCGGGGGGGGCTTATCAGAATCTGGAAGCCCACCATGGCCCTCAGATTCCCCCCCTAATATGACCGAGTATGGGGTACATGCAGGGGCGGACTGACAACTCATGGGCCCTCGGGCAATAGGGGATCATGGGGCCCCTGTGTCCTTGCCCAAACTCAAAAAAGCCTATGAAAAAGGTACCAGGGGCATCTCATGGGGCCCCCTACTGACCCCGTGCCCTCGGGCAGTCCCCGAGTTTCCAAATGGTCAGACCGCCCCTGGGTACATGGTACTCATTCACAAAAAGAAGTGTAGTGTAAAAAAGACAGTCCTTGGCAAGTCCTTTATTAAAAACAAAAATTTAAAAAAATGCCCCCGAAGTAGATCCAACATCAATCACGATGCCCACTGCCACTGCCGACCTGAAAAAAAAAAAAAAAAAAACCTCTCCGCTCTCAACACTGGCTCCCGTCGTCTGACAGATGTGCTGCGGTGACAGTTCTTATATACTGTGATGATGTCACAAGGCGGCGTGGTCACCCACCCCCTGGTGACGTCATCATGCGCTGTGATCGGCCAAAGCATTGCACCTGACCTGTAAGGGGATCTCCCATCCCACCGGCAGTCCCAGTAGACTAGCCAGCACTGCCACAGGCTAGTCACAGATCTGATCAAACAACGGATCGGTCTTGTGACAGTGACAGCAAAAAAAAAAAATAAAGTGCTCCTGTGCTTGTGTGCAACGGAGAGAATGAATGCACCAGTCCCGCGAACACGCAAACAACGATCATCCCACACATGTGAGGTATCATTGCGAATGTCATATCATAGGAAGTAATTTTAGCACCAGATCTCTTCTATAAATCTAAAGTGCTCACCTGTAAAGGCTACCTGTATGGACGGCACAGTTTCAAAGCATGACATGTTTGATGTCTATTTACTCAGCGTAACATCATCTTTTATGTATTGTGGTTTTTTTGCAATAACATTCAAAAAAGTTTTTTTTTTTTCAAAAAATTGTGTTTTAAATAATGCTATACAGATACTGTGTGACATATAAAATTGCAAAACCCACCAAGTTATTCTCTTGAAAAATATAAAGATTGGGGTTCTAAGTAATTTTCTAGCAAAAAAAAATAATAATCATTACATGTGAACAAAAAGTGTCAATTAAACCTGGTCCTTAAAGTGTTACTAGACCCAGGACTCTGCATTCACTATATCTGGTCTCCCCGGACCCTGCATTCACTATATCTGGTCTCCCTGGACTCTGCATTCACTATATCTGGTCTCCCCGGACCCTGCATTCACTATATCCGGTCTCCTCGGACCCTGCATTCACTATATCCGGTCTCCCTGGACCCTGCATTCACTATATCCGGTCTCCCTGGACCCTGCATTCACTATATCCGCTCTCCCCGGACCCTGCATTCACTATATCCGCTCTCCCCGGACCCTGCATTCACTATATCCGCTCTCCCCAGACCCTGCATTCACTATATCTGGTCTTTCTGGACCCCGCATTCACTATATCCGCTCTCCCCGGACCCCGCATTCACTATATCCGGTCTCCCCGGACCCTGCATTCACTATATCTGGTCTCCCCGGACCCTGCATTCACTATATCTGGTCTCCCGGAACCCTGCATTCACTATATCTGGTCTCCCGGACCCTGCATTCACTATATCTGGTCACCCCGGACCCTGCATACTATATCTGGTCTCCCAGAACCCTGCATTCACTATATCTGGTCTCCCAGGACCCTGCATTCACTATATCCGGTCTCCCCGAACCCTGCATTCACTATATCTGGTCTCTCAGGACGCTGCATTCACTATTTCTAGCTTCCCCGCACCCTTCATTCACTATATCCGCTCTCCTCGGACCCTGCATTCACTATATCCGCTCTCCCCGGACCCTGCATTCACTATATCCGCTCTCCCTGGACCCTGCATTCACTATATCCGCTCTCCACGGACCCCGCATTCACTATATCTGCTCTCCCTGGACCCCGCATTCACTATATCTGGTCTCCCCGGACCCTGCATTCACTATATCCACTCTCCCCGGACTCTGCATTCACTATATCCGGTCTCCCCGGATCCTGCATTCACTATATGTGCTCTACCCGGATCCTGCATTCACTATACCCGGTCTCCCCGGACCCTGCATTCACTATACCCTCGTCTCCCAGGACCCTGCATTCACTATATCCGCTCTCCCCGGACCCTGCATTCACTATATCCGGTCTCCTTGGACCCTGCATTCACTATATCTGGTCTCCCTGGACCCTGCATTCACTATATCTGGTCTCCCCGGACCCTGCATTCACTATAGATCCGCTCTCACCCCCGACCCTGCATTCACTATATCTGGTCTCCCCGGATCCTGCATTCACTATATCCGGTCTCCCCGGACCCTGCATTCACTATACCCGGTCTCCCAACTGGTTAAAGCTTGCAGGAGGAGTTTTCAGTCTGCTTTTATTGAAGGATGATGATCATATGAAGCCATTTATTATCAAATAGTTTTGTTCGGTCTCTGTGACAGGAGGTCAGGAAGAACTAGGGGATGTGTCCCAGGATGGGAGATATATTTGTCCCAGGTTTATGCTCTACACTGACTGTTTCTCCTGTTGTGCTGTGTGGTGTGCCTGTGTGGTTCACTGTGGATAATTAGCTCAGGTGTAGTGCATTAAGGGCTCTGGGCTCTATAAAACTCCCAGGCTGCATAGGAGATTGCTCCATCCTGGAACCAGTTGGCTGTATAAGACAGACTGGGGAGCAACCAAACCAACCTATGGTGAGAAACAATCTCTGTGATCTTGGAACTGTGTGAACACCCTGGTCTGAGCAGTGGTAGGCTGCATACAGACCGCTAGATAGGAAAGCTGTGTGTTGTAGTTAGTAGCCCAGTGTGGCCAGGCTTTATTTTCTGTTTTGGTTGTTTTGCTGTTTTTTTTATGCACCGTGTGTTCACTGGACTTTGTAAATAAAAGCACAAAACTTATTCACCAAGTACCTGCTGTCGTGCTGGGCCTCTTTTTATGGTGTTCTGATCCATCCAGGGGGTCAAGCACATAGTGAGCTAATCCCTCACAGGCTCCTTTTAAAATCATAATAACAGAAAATCACCCAAATGGCCTGAATCAGAGGTGACACACATGGGTTAAAGTGTCAATTAGAGGTTAATGTTCCACATCTGTGGCTTTTTAAATTGCAATTAGTGTCAGTGTATAAATAGTCAATGAGTTTTTTTTAGATCTTACGTGGAAGCACTAACTGGGCTAGATAGTGAGCCATGGGGATCAGAAAAGAACTGTCAAAAGTCCTGCGTAACAAGGTAATGGAACTTTATAAAGATGGAAAAGGACATATAAAGATGTCCAAAGCCTTGAATATGCCAATCATACTGTTAGATCACCTATTAAGAAGTGGACAGTTCGGGGAATCTCTTGATACCAAGCCAAGGTCAGGTAGACCAAGAAAGATTGCAGCCACAACTGCCAGAAGAATTGTTCAGGATACAAAGGGAAACCAAAAGGTAACCACAAGAAAAATCCAGGCTGCTCTGGAAAAAGACAGTGTGGTTTGTTTTGAAGGAGCAAAATAATGATTGACACTTGAACAAAAATGAGCTGCATGGTGGCGGTGCCCAGAAAGAAGCCTTTACTGCACCAATGACACAAGGAGGCCCGTTAGGCATGTCAAGGTGTTGTCAGGCATATTGTAAACCGGATTTTTTGTGGCATTGGTGCAGTAAAAGCTTCTTTCTGGCACCATCGACCAAATAGCTAATTTTTGTTCAAGTATTACCGTATTGTACTCCTTAAAAACAACCACAACCATCATTTTCCAGAGCAACCTGTTGTTCTTTTGAGGTTACTTGAGGGGTTTTTCTTTGAATCCCAAACAATTCTTCTGGAGTTTGTGGCTGAAATCTTTCCTGACCTTGGCTTGGTATCAAGAGATCCCTGAACTGTCCACTTCTTAATAGGTGATTTAACAGTACTGATTGGCATATTCAAGGCTTTGGACATCTTTTTATGTCCTATTCCATTTTTATAAAGTTCCATTGCCTTGTTTTTTTTTTTTTTAATTTTAAATATTTATTAAATTTTTCATGTTAATACAAAAACTCAAAAAGGGAAGTAATTCTCAACAGAAGACATTTATAGCATTTCTACCTTTCCCCTTACTAAAAACTCTTTTCTTTCCCATCCCACTACCCCTCCTTCCCACACCCCTCCTCCCCCTCTGCAGACTCTAACCCATACTATTCTCTTGAGGCTTTTTAATTTTTGTTAACATCCTAGTTCATGTTTTCCTATATTTCTCTTTCATATCCTGCTCTTCTCCCACTTTTTTCCCCATCTCCTGAGATAGACTCTCATTCTATCTTCCTGCATATGATATGATCTTTCCATTCTACCTATCTGGTTTACTCTGTTAATCCAGTCCACCTTCCTTCGTACCACTCGACTTTCCGCCAAAACTTGGGTATCAACCCCTTTCGCCGCATTCAAGAAGTACCAAATACCTGAATCTTTATATTTATTTACAGATTCCTCCACATTGTGTTAGGAGACACGTCGTTGGTTCTAATCCTATGTCAATTTCCGTTATTTCTTTAATCAACTTGACTATTTGTCTTTCCAAAAAGCCTGGATTTTCGGACATTCCCACCATATGTGAAACAACCGTGCCTATTTCTCCACATCCTCTCCAACACAATAATTGAACTTTTCCCTATTCATCCTTGTGTTCTACACTCGGTGTGATGTGCCATCGTGTCACACACTTATAATTAACCTCCACCTCTATCTCGATACTAACATTATCGAGTATCAATCCATTGCCTTGTTATGCAGGAACTTTTGACAGGTCTTTTCTGATCCCCGTGGTTCATTATCCTAGCCTAGTCAGTGCTTCCATGTAAGAGCTAAACAAACTCAATGACTATATATATACACTGACACTAATTGCAATATAAAATGCCACAGATGAGGTACATTAACCTCTAATTTGCATTGTAACCCGTGTGTGTCACCTTGTGTGTGTCTGTACCCAAAGCCAAACAATCCAGGGGGCGGAGACTTTCTGATCACAGGGGCGGAGGCTACTGATCCGGGCCATTCGGGTGAATTTCTGTTATCCCATAAATGGATTTTAAAAAAGGAGCCAAACAACTATTTGATAATAAATGGCTTCATATGAATCATCATCCCTTCAAATAAATAGAGCATCCTTTTGGCATGATTCCTCCATATTTTCAAATACCAATGGCCAAACATTTCACAATTACTGCCAGTGGTATGTAAACCTTTGTTGAGCAAGCAACTGTATATAGTGATATGGCCCCATCCTTCCTCTGCAATCTGACTGAACTAATCAGACAGTTTGACTGATCGGGGTCCTGCTCTGCTTTCATTTATAAATCAATGGTCCCTATTGGTAGCTATCATTCATGACTTACGGTTTACTGCTTTTCATTTTTAGTGAAACCCTTTTTTTTCGTTGTTTGCTGATTTTGTTTTGTTTGTTATGTAAATCTTAACTTTAATTTGTTTTTTGTTCGGATTAATGTTTTAGCATCAAATTCTGTTTTGTTAGCATAAACATGAGTTTTAGCACTTTTTAGGCCTCTTACACACGGCCCCTGCAAAAAAAGCTTTTGAAAAAGCACAGTAGAGTATATTTTTAACTTGAGCGATCTAAAATGCAGCCCTTTTGCCTTTACACAAGCATGTACAAACAAGCGCTGCATATTCCTTAAGTAAAAAATATAATAATAAAGATTTGTATACCTGTCAGTATTTGGTGCCGTTGCAAGAACACAAATGCACAACGCATTAGCACAAATGCCAGTGGTTTTTTGCCTAGAAATGTATTGTATCATGGAAATGCGCATAGTTCAAATCAATACGGGCAAAACAAACACCCTGAAATTAAAACATCCAGAATGCTGATGCTCAACAATCAGTACAGTATGCAAGATGCCATATAAAAGAAGACAACAAAATCAGAGAATAACATTTGTAGTTAACCCCGGATTAGTTGTTTTAAACCTACGCATTTGTCATTTAAGTATTGGAAATGTGAGTCATTTTAATATTTTTTGCAATTTGTAAAATGTGTAATTTTTAGTTAATTTGTAAAATGGTAATTTAGACATTTGTAATCTTAGTCATTTGGAATTTGTAAAATTTGTAGATTTTAGAATTTGTAATCTTAGTCATTTGAATGTAAAATTTGTAGTATGTTAGTAAATTTGTAATTTTAGCAATTTAATAAAAAATAAAAATTTTGTCAATTTTAATTTTAGTCATTTGTAGAAATTAAAATTGTAGTCTTTTGTAAAAAGGGGTGGACACCGCCTCCTCCCTAGTGAACTAGTTAATTTAGGGGAATTCCTGGTCAATGGAAATAAGTTAAAAATTTTGGGTTAATTTTTAGTAATTTATATTAATTTTGGGTTAAAACTTTGTTTCTTTTTAAGTAAGTTTGGTAAAAATGTGGGGTTGTTAGTATTCGTTGGTTACTTTATAGAGGTTGTTTTTTTTGGGGGGTTTACCTTTTTGGGGGGGTGGGCATCTTGCCTGGCGTTTTTTTTTTTGCTTTTTCCTTGCCCTGATTAATAGTTTTAGGTTTGGGTCCTGGCTGGAAAAAAAGTCCATCCCAGTTCAACCATTAAAAAAGAAGCTATAATCCTTCACCCACAATTTAATTTGTAAATGATTGGGTGGTGGGTGGGTAGGTCAGTTTGGGGGATAATTTGGTTTGTGTTGTTAGATTGATAGATAGTTGGTATTTAGTATGAAGTGTAGATTTTGGGATATGATATGTTTTGGGGGGGGGGAATTTTTAGTTGTGCTGTAATTTTTAGTCATTTAGAATTTTAGTCAATTTAGCAAAACTTGGTCATTTAGTACTTTGGAAAATTTTCTAAATTTGAGATTTTAGTTTATTTTAGTGGGCCTGAAAACTAGGGGTTTTGGGTTTTTTTTTAGTCATTTTAGTAAATTGTAATTTTAAATAATTTGTAATTTTTAAACCCACTCTTACATTTTTTGTTTGTTTTTTTTAAACCCCAAAAAAAAAATCTCCGGGGGGTTTACTTTGGCCCTCCTTTCCTTTGGGGCCAAGAACCTTCCCCCCCAAGGAAAGTCTTTTAGCGGGCACTGACAGGTACTTTACCTCCCCTGGCACAAACTCATCCCGGGCCCCTTTGGGTACGGTTTTTTTAAAAGTATGGGTACTGCAGGATCCGAGGAAATTGATGTGGTACAGGCAGTGCTTCTCCCCGCTTCCATTTTGGGGTTGGGTTTCAACCCCTCCCCCTCTGAGTACTGCAACTGCAAACGCTGACCGGGAAGACAGAGAAAAAAAAACCAGGGGCCCCAAAGCATAACATAAATCCTTAAAAAGACCAATCTTCCTTTAAAGTCCGTGTCTTACCCCCTGGAAACTTTCTCCCTTTTTAAATTTTGGGGCCCAGTTCAGTTTTTTTTTGAAAAACTGGCCCCTATACAAAAACAAGAAGCCCCTTATGACGGGCACACACCATAAAAATTAGAAAAACCCCAAACTCTTACCCCATCTCATTTTTGATTGACCCAAAAAAATGTAATATGAAGGGGAAAACCCAAAAAAAAGGGAATTCATTTTTCAATTTAATGAGACAGACCCTTTTTCTTTATATTTTTTGAAGATCTGAAGGAGAATTTTAAATTCAGATTGTATTGTGTTGGGTTTAGCTTTTGCGTTACGGGGCCCCAAAACTACTTCGCTTAAAGGAGACGGGCCCCGGCCCTAAAAGGGGATTACATTTACAGAGTGGGCTCAAAGCCCCTTTTTTTTATAAATTTTTATTTAAAATGTTTTCTAAAAACCCCAACAGAACAATCGTTCTGAAAATGCGAAAAACATGCTTGTTATACTCATTGTGGAACCTAAGGGGTTTTAAACCCCGCATTGGGGTAAAAAGGCTGTTTTAAAACCTGAGTTTTTTTCCCGATTCCCCCCCTTCTTCCAGTGGCCCCCCCCCCCCATCTCCTGATAAACAAACCCTGTGGGGGTTTATTGAATGGCGGGGGCATTTTTTTTGGGGGGGTATTGAAGGTGGACGGGCACATTGCTTGGGGGTGTGTGAAGGGACAAAAACAAACGGGGGGGGGGGTAATTTGAAACGGGGACCCTTTTGGGGGGAGAGAAGGGAATTTGAACTTAGTGGGGGTATTTAAGGGGACAGGGGACATCGGGTTTGGGGTGAGGGGGGCGGGAAACCCTTTTTTTGATTAAGGTGGACAAAAATACGTGGGGGTATTTGAAGGTGGACAGGGGACTTCCTTGGGGGGTTTGATTAAATTTTAAAAACCTCTTGGGGGTGATTTAAAGGCGGGAAAGGACATGCTTGGGGGTGAGGGTAAAGGCTTATTTTTGGGGGGTTTGATGAAGGGGGGACAACTGTAGAGTAAGGGGACGGGACAAAACGAAAGGGATGGGGTGGAAAAAAAAGACAAACGGGTGGGGATTTTGAAGGGGACAGGGCATACTTGGGGGTTTGAATGGGACAGATTAAACTCTTTTTTTAAATGGGGGGCGGGGAAAAATGCCGGGGGGTGATTGAATTTTTGGGCATTTTTTGAATAATGTGGGTTGATTAAGGGGCAGGGCTTCCCTTGGGGGTGAAAATTTAGGGGGGTTTACTGGGGGGATGTAAAGGGGAAAAGGGCTTCTGTGGGAGGTAAGTGAATTTACAAAAATTACTTTTGGGGGTTGGTGAGGGGGGGACAATTTTGGGGGTAAAAGGGAAGGGGGGGGGAATGGGTGATGGAAGGTGGGGGACAAATGGGTGGGGGGGGAAAGTGAAGGTGGAAGGGGAATTCTGGGGGGGAATAAAGGGGAAGGCTTCGGGGGGGTAAGGAAGGGGACAAACCAAAGTGGGGGGTGGGAGCGGAAAGGGGAAATTTCTTGGGGGGAAATGTGAAGGGGAAATTGACCATTATGGGGGGTAGGGGGCCCGATAAAACGGGGGGGGTATGGGGGGCGGGGGGGAACATTTAGGGGGTATGGAAGGGGAAAGACACTATGGGGGGGGGAGGAAAGGTGGAAAAAGGGGACACACGTGGGGGGGGGAAAAAGTTTTAAGAACTACTGTGGGGGGGGATGAGGGGGGCAGGGACAATTCCTGGGGGGGGGGGGGGGGGGGGGGGGGGATGGGGGGCAAAGCATTGGGGGGGGTGATTGGGGGGGGAAGGACATACTGGGGGTTTAAGGGGGCAAGGATTTTCGTGGGGGTATGTGAAGGGGACAGGGCCCCGTGGGGGGTGAGGAAGGGGGAAGGGGGCATACTTTGGGGGATGTGAAGGGGCAGTGCATACTGGGGGGGTAGTAAAAGGAAAATTTTGGGGGGAAAGGGGACATTCCCCTTGGTGGGGAAAATGTAAGGGGACAGGCACTACTTTGGGGAAGTGATGTTGAAGGGGGACAGAGACACTACTTGTGGGGAGTGATATGAAGGGGGACAGAGGCCACTAACTGTGGGGGTGATGTGAAGGGGGACAGAGGACACTACTGTGGGGGTGATGTGAAGGGGGACAGAGGAGACACTACTGTGGGGAGTGATGTGAAGTGGACAGATGGACACTACATTGGGAGTGATGTGAAGGGGACAGAGGACACTACTGTGGGGAGTGATGTGATGGGGACAGAGCAACACTACTGTGCGGAGTGATGTGAAGGGGGACAGGGGACACTCACTGTGGGGATACAGGGGACATTGCTGTGGGAGGTGATGTGAAGGTGGACAGGGGACATTACTGTGGGAGGTGATGTGAAGGTGGACAGGGACATTACTGTGGGAGGTGATGTGAAGGTGGAAGGGGGACAGTGGGAGGTGATGTGAAGGTAGGAAGGGACATTACTGGGGGGTGATGTGAAGGTGGACAGAGGACATTACTGTGGGGGGTGATGTGAAGGTGGACAGGGGACATTACTGCTGGGGGGTGATGTGAAGGCGGACAGGGGACATTTGCTGTGGGGGGTGATGTGAAGGTGGACATATGACACACTGTGTGGGGGGTGATGTGAAGGTGGACAGGGGACACTCACTGTGGGGGGTGATGTGAAGGTGGACAGGGGACATTACTGTGGGGAGGTGATGTGAAGGTGGACAGGGGACATTACTGTGGGGGGTGATGTGAAGGTGGAACAGGAGACACTACTGTGTGGGATGTGATGTGAAGGTGGAAAGGGGACATTACTGTAGGGGGTGATGAAGGTGGTGGGACATTACTGTGGGGGGTGATTGAAGGTGGAAAGATGACACTACTGGGGGGGTGATGTGGAGGCGGGCAAGGGACATTGCTGTGGGGGTGATGTGAAGGCGGACAGGGACATTGCTGTGGGGGGGTGATGTGAAGGCGGACAGAGGACATTACTGTGGGGGTGATGTGAAGGTGGACAGGGGACATTACAGTGGGGGGTGATGTGAAGGGGACAGAGGACACTACTGTGGGGGTGATGTGAAGGTGGACAGGGACATTACTGTGGGGGGTGATTGTGTGAAGGGACATTACTGTGGGGGTGATGTGAAGGGGACAGGGGACATTACTGTGGGGGGATGTGAAGGTGGACAGAGGACATTACTGTGGGAGGTGATGTGAAGCGGACAGAGGACATTGCTGTGGTGAAGGGGGTGATGTGAAGGTGGGGAGTGATGTGAAGGGGACAGAGGGACACTCTGTGGGAGGTGATGTGAAGGTGGGGACTGATGCTGTGGAGGTGATGTGAAGGTGGACAGAGGACACTATTGTGGGGAGTGATGTGAAGGAGGGACAGAGGACACTACTGTGGGGGGATGTGAAGGAGGACAGAGGACTTTGCTGTGGGAGATATGTGAAGGGACAGAGGACACTATTGTTGGGAGTGATGTGAAGGGGGACAGAGGACACTACTGTGGGGAGGTGAGGTGAAGGGGGACAGAGGACACTACTGTGGGGAGTGATGTGAAGGGGACAGAGGACATTACTGTGGGGAGTGATGTGAAGGGGACAGAGGACATTCTGTGCGGAGTGATGTGAAGGGGGATAGAGGACTCTACTGTGGGGGAGTGATGTGAAGGGGGACAGAGGACTTTACTGTCTGAGATATTGTGAAGGGGGACAGAGGACACTACTGTGGGGAGTGATGTGAAGGGGGACAGAGGACTTTACTGTCTGAGATATTGTGAAGGGGGACAGAGGACACTACTGTGGGGAGTGATGTGAAGGGGGAGACTTCCTTTTGCAAAGAGCAATCCATACGATCTTGGTCAGCCAATTGTCGCAATTGTGAGCAAACGTTTGGTACTGTGGATGCTTCCATGTCTAGTTTGATATAACTTATTAGCTGCTTCTATCATGGTGAACTTTTCTGTGTGGAAAAAAAGGTAAAAAAAAAAAGGTAAAAAAATGTTTGTGTACAGTGTTGCATGGCCGCGTAATTGTCATTCAAAGTGCGACAGTGCTGAAAGCTGAAAATTGTTTGTGGGTGGGAAGGGGGTGAAAGTACTCGGTATTGAAGTGGTTAAGGAATATACCTGCTCTTCCAGAACAGTCAGCCTTTTCTCCAGCAGACACAGCATGGCGGAGACACTGCACCAGACACAAATATGGCACGTCAGGAATACATTATATAACATAAATGTAAAAGCGGTATGATATTACAGATACAGCACTTTTCTTAGTTCAGCAGTCAGGGTAGCAGACAATAATCAGATATTAGAATCTCAATAAACTGCTCCTGAGCCTGGAGATCGAAGTAATTAACACCTAGATGCAGGGGCAGACTGACCATTCTGGCACTTCCCGTGGGCCCGGGGTCAGTTATTGGGGGCCCATGAGATGCCCCTGGTACCTTTCATAGGCTTATTTGGGTGTGATTTCAGTGTGGGCAAGGACACAGGGGCCCTATTATCCCCTATTGCCCAGGGGCCCCATGAATTGCCAGTCTGCCCCTGTCTAGATGTCAAGTAGCTTTTGACAGTGTAAGGGACCGCCCGGCGGTACTACTAGCACTCCACTGATCAGGCGTCCCCAGCGCATGGAATCTAAGCCCCAGAGTACTTGTTCACCAGGGCCCCTGATGGTGGGGATGGACTTGGAGTACCCTGAGACCAGGTCGTGACTACTGAGGACACCCCGTCAGTGGTAGGGGTATTCGCCAGGGGCTCCCACGGGGAAGAGCCTGATATGAGGAGTCGGGAGACCCCATTGGGATGGATGGCTGAGCACGTACAAGGTCAGTCAGGCCGGGTCGGTAACTATGGGGATGGTGCGGTACAAAGCAGCAGGCAGAGAATAGTCGGGTCACACGCCAGGTCAGCAACAGAAGGTCAGGTCCAATAGGGGGCATCCAGGAGAGAGAGGTCAGGCAAAGCAAGGGTCTGGGCAGGAGAATACAGCAGGGTCAGGTACAATCCGGGTCAGCAACTTACAAAATACAGGTTCGCAAATACAGGATACAGGATAGACCAGAAGGCACTGAATGACTGCTCAGGGCCATTTAAATATCGCGCCCTGCGCTGTCATTGCTGCCAAGTGCACGCCCGCGGCCCTCTACTGCGCTTGCACGAGCTCGATCGCCGCGGTCGGCCAGGCCTTAGTGCCCGTGTCCCTGCACAGGGCGGTGCACTGCGCCTGTGCCGAGACCAGCGCCGCGGCGATCCCTGACATTGCCCCCCATCTACGGGCAACCTCCGGATGCCCACCCAATCTCTCCAACACGGGTGATCACGAAGAAACTCCCGGACAAGTCTAGGTGCATGAACATTCTGGGCTGGTTCCCAGGAATTGTCCTCAGGACCATAGCCTTTCCATTTAATTAGAAATTGGGTCTAGCCCCCTTCCTTTGGCACTTCAGGATCGTTTCCACCTCAAATTCTTCTTGTCCTTCAACAGTTATGGCCTCCGGAGGCCTGGATTCTCGTTCTGGGAAGGCATCAGGAATCACTGGTTTAAGCAAGGACACATGGAATACTGGATGAATCTTGAACGTTTCAGGAAGGATAAGCTCATATGCCACCTCGTTGATCATTCGCTTCACACAAAAAGGCCCCACAAATTTAGGTCCCAATTTCTTCAATGGTACGAAGTGGGCCATCTTTGACAGTCGATCAATGACCACAAGGATCGCGTTGTGGTCTTGGGACGGTGGGAGCTCGACTATAAAGTCCATCTCGATCCTTTGCCAAGGTCGTTCGGGAATCGGCAAACGCCGCAGCAGTCCCCAAGCCCTGTTCCTCGATGGCTTGTTTTTCTGGCAAATGGTACAGGATCTTTCATAGAGCTTGCAATCCTTGGCCATGTTCGGCCACCAAAAAGAGCGTTGGAGAAGCTCCAGGGTCTTGGCTGGGCCAAAGTGTCCTGCCATCGGGTGGTCATGGCAATGTCCCAAGACAAGGGTTCGGACTTTTTCAGGTACCATGATTAATCCTTCCTTCCATAGGAGTCCCCCCTTGCTCTGGAGGGACACCCCAACTGGGGTTGACGTGGCCGTGGATGCATCCATTAGCTTGGACCGAAGGTCTGTCTGGAGCGCCAAGAAATTTCCTGAAGACAGAATAGTATCAGGTACCGGTTCTTCTTTGGAGTCCTCAAACATGCGTGATAATGCATCAGGTTTCATATTTTTAGATCCGGGCCTGTACGTGATATGAAAAGTGAACCTTGAGAAGAACAGTGCCCGTCTCGCCCTGCCGTGGGCGTAAACGTTTGGCGGTTCTCAGGTACTCAAGATTCTTATGATCCGTGAAGATCAAGATGGGGTGTGAGGCACCTTCCAGCAAGTACCTCCATTCTTCGAGTGCTGTTTTGATGGCTAACAACTCTCGATCGCCGATATCGTAGTTCTTCTCGGCTGGGGTAAGTTTCCTTGAGAAGAACGCTACGGGATGGAGTAATTCTTTGGTGCCTTTTCGCTGGGACAGGATGGACCCCACCGCATTCTCCGATGCATTTACTTCCAAGATGTAGGGCAGGGCAGCGTCCAAATGGCCCAGAATGGGTGCCGAGGTAAATATCTTCTTCAAGGCCTCAAAGGCTTCCTGAGCCTCCGGCGTCCATCTGAACCGGGTTCCAAGTTTGGTTAGCTGAGTTATGGGGGAGACAAGACCCGAGAAGTTCTTAATGAACTCCTGATAAAAGTTTGCAAAACCGATAAACCGCTGGACGCCATTTTTGTCTGTGGGTACAGGCCAATCCAAAATCGCAGAGACTTTTTGAGGGTGCATCGCGACCCCCGTGGTGGAGATAATCAGACCCAGAAACGTAATGCTAGATTGCTCGAAACAACACTTATCTGCCTTGGCGTATAACCCATGGTGACGCAGCCGCCCCAACATCCTTGCACATGTATCCTGTGATCCTTCAGGAAGGATGAGAAGATCAGTATATCGTCCAGGTAAATGATAACAAAAATGTCAAGGAAATCCCTGAAAATATTGTTTACAAAATGTTGGAATGTGGCCAGAGCATTGCACAGCCCAAATGGCATGACCAGATATTTGAAATGCCCAAACTGGGTACGGAATTCTGTCTTCCACTCGTCCCCCCCCTTATGCGAACCAGGTTGTAGGCCCCCCTTAGGTCAAGTTTAGTAAATATGACCGCAGCCTTCAGGCTCTGAAATAACTCTGGTACCAATGGCAACGGGTAACGATTTTAAATCGTGACTCTGTTCAGCTCCCGATAGTCAATACACGGTCTCAGAGACTTGTCTTTTTTTTCCACGAAGAAGATCCCTGCCCCTGCTGGTGAAGTGGAGAGACGGATGAACCCCTTCTGGAGACTGTCCTCTATATATTCCTTCAGGGCCCCCAATTCAAGTTCAGATAGGGGAAACATTTGCCCAAAAGGAATCTCGGAAGCGGGCAACAAATCAATGGGACAGTCATACGGGCGGTGGGGGGGGCAGGGTATCTGCTCCTCGCTTACTGAATACATCCAAGAACTCATGATATGCTGCGGGAATAACCTGTTTCAGATCAGAGTCCCCTTCGGAGCATAGGAGGACCCGGGGGGCTGCCGGGCCTCAAGTGCGACAGTGTTCCTGACAGTATGGGGAAGGGAACAAGATTAACCCGGTTTCCCAGTCAATTTGGGGGTTATGGGCCCGCAACCAAGGGAGCCCCAAAATGACTGGGAAAAGAGGTGACGCAATGGCATCCAGACGGAGGAATTCCTGGTGCTGATTGGCAATGGTAGTGGCAATGGGAGGAGTTTCCTGATTAACCACTCCTGATTTTATCTGGGAGCCATCGGCCAAGAATATGTTAAAGCCCCTCTTTCTGGGTTGGAGGGGAATTCTCTGCTGGCGAGCAAAGTCTAGATCCAGGAAACAACTGCATGCCCCCAAATCAATTATGGCTTTCACCTCCACGGTCCTTTCTGGAAGCTGAAAGGAGAGGGGCACGACTAAGTATTGGGAAGGACTGACATTGCCAATAGACAAAGAAGAAAAAGAGGTACACTTGCTCATTTTCTGAGGGCAGGATCGTACCATATGACCGGCTTCACCACAGTAGAGGCAGAGGTTCTGAGAGCGTCTCCGCTGGCGTTCTTCTGGTGATAATTTAGGCCGAGCCAGGCCTTGTTGCATGGGTTCTTGAACATCTCCTGGAGGTGGATTCTGGACACTTGGTCTGGTTGGTTGGCTGGGGCCTTGGAATGGACCCCAGGTATTTCCGCGACCCTGGCCGGACCTCTCAAACCTGCATTCCCGCAGTCTTCGGTCTATTTTTATCGTCAGGGCAATTAGGTCCTCTAATGACTCGGGAACCTCCACCCGGGCCAGCTCATCCTTTAGGGGTTCTGACAGACCCATGTGGAACTGGTGCAGCAAAGCAAACTCGTTCCAGCGTGTGTCCCCCATCCAACGCCTAAATTCAGAGGCGTATTCCTCTGCCGCCCGACGGCCCTGTCGGAGCGTGTATAGGGTTGCTTCGGCAGAGGCTGCCCGCTGTGGGTCATCATACAGGATGGCCATCGCTTCAAAAAAGTCATTGACCGTTCTCAGGTGAGGGTGATTGTTTCCCCTTAACCGATGGGCCCAGTCTTGGGGCTCACCCTGCAACAGTGAGATTATAAATCCCACTTTCACAGATTCAGTTAGAAAGGTGCGGGGTTGTAGTTCAAAAAACAGGAGGCAGGACTCACGAAAAGACCTGAAGCGTGTGTGGTCCCCGTGGAAACGCTCCGGTAAGGGTACTTGGGGTTCTGCCATAGGCAGCGGGGCAGAAGCCCCTGAAGGTGGTCCAAGAGCTACCGCGGCCGGGGGTGCGGAAACCGGGGCCTGTGGAGCAGGGTCAGATATGGAGCAGGTCTGGAAACGATTTTCCAGCTGCATACATTTGTCCTGCAGGGCCGCTACGGCCTGCGTCAAGGTAGATAGATGCCTGCAAATATCCTCCAGCGGGGAGGGCCCTCCTCTAGGCTCAGTCATGGCCTTCTGCTACTGTAAGGGACCGCCCGGCGGTACCACTAGCACTCCACTGATCAGGCGTCCCCAGCGCACGGAATCTAAGCCCCAGAGTACTTGTTCACCAGGGCCCCTGATGGTGGGGATGGACTTGGAGTACCTTGAGATCAGGTTGTGACT